CACAGAATTCGCTTGCTTCTTCAGTTCTTCGAGGGTAATAGCACACGATACCTTCTCGCTATACAAAGTGGCCAGCAGAATGATACAATGGCCATCCCCTTCTCGGCATTCTTCAAAATCGGTCAAGAACCGCTTTCAGCACCTCCCCTGGCCACTTAGTTCGTGGGGTTTCAATTTCATGGATGATTGCTTCAAGCGTAGTCATTCTGCTGGCACCAGATTCCGGTACACTGGCAGTATATTCTTTTACACCCTTCATATAATTTTCCCAAATCTGTTTTTGCATTGTTTTCATTTATGGTTCCAGATGCGGACTTTTTCCTTTTAACCTCCATTTTATGTTCGTTGAATATATTATATATAAATAAACACTTAGCTTCATTTGTATTGAATGTTATTTAATGCATTACCAGTTTGATTAAAACGAAGAATATTTTTAAATTGTTAAACCATACAAACTGGAAATAAAGTAAAATTTTTTCAAATTTTTTGATGTTTTTAGGCATTAGATCTGTGTTACCGTGATGATCCTAATACATTCAATCTTCTAACAGATGCCTTGGCTAGTGCCGTAACAGTATGTGCTTTCGCGCCTGAATCTAGACGATGTCATCAAATGCTAGTATGGATTCTATCTGTTTAACAATTTATTTTTGCTGAATTTCGTCCGGTATTCAAACGTGTTTAAAGAGTTTTTCCTTAGTGCAAAATAATGCATCTACGTCACTCGCATTCGGATTTATAAAAAGTTGCCAATCATATGATGTTATGCAAAAGTTACTGCGACAGTATTGTATGCCAAGAAAGTTTCCTTTTTACATCATTAGTTAACAGTGTTCAAACATTTCTTATAAATATATGTTTTTGGTTTTTGAAAAGAGTCATTTTACTATTTAATACTTCAGTATTAGTGTTTGCTTTGTTGACGAACTTTTTATGGCAGCTGGTGATGCAAGCAACGATTCCCTATTTTCTGAACCAAATCGAACAGGAAACTGTGAAACAGGACAGTAGTGTAAGTGCTGTGAAACATGAAATATCCATTTATACGACTTTGTGCGTTGAAATGAAAGCTTTAGTGAATTGCTGCGAAGTTTTGGCCAGGTTTTTCTTAGTTTCTAAATATACAAAAATCCTCAGACCCTAAAAATCTTTATAAATTTTAATCCTATTCATTTTTTATTTTGCACTCTTTTTTCATCAAAACTTTTTCATTTTCACTTTCTGAAGAGGACCTACAAGAACTTTTGATATCGTAAATAGTGTTAGCGATCGTGGAAAATCATTTATCGCAGATTCGCCTCAATTTTTCGATCCACCGACTGTGATAGAGGATGAAACAAAATTGCATTATTCGTAATTTTTTATTCATTATGAATCTAACTCCTTTCATAAGATGCAGAATAGCTTGGTAATCGAATATGCAAAGTCAGAATATTCCATCTAATCTTAATTACTCGATACTGGTAATATTGTATTGAGAATCGAATATGGAAGTAGTGTAAAAGTTTATTTTCATATCGAGTGAAAATTTTTGCATTTATAAAACCGCAGTTGTATTTGTGCATAGATTTTTTGCAGGGATGTACATTTTTGAAGTTTAAGCGTTAAACGAATCATATATCATCACATGCATAATCACATTTATTCGTTAATAATAAGGAAGTATTAGGGGTGTGAAAGATAAAAAGAGTGTTGCTGGATGGGATGCAATGGATAATTCTGAAGTTCAACGGGAAACATTCCGTCGTTCACGAGACGCACTATTGGTACTCACTGCCACTTTCATAGAAAAAGCAGGTCCACGTTTGAAGGAGCTTACAAAGTTAGCTTCCAATATTGAACATATTAAGATTCCTGAATTATTCGATCACAAATGTTATGCGGTGAGTCAAACTTATTATTAATAAGTAATGTATTCGTTACGCTAGTGAAAATTTTAATTTACCTTTTATTAAAGATTTTGCTTTTATAAATATATGAATACACAGTAATTTGCTTCGCTTCAGTAATGTCATAAAAATTTGAGTATTCGCGAATTATTATTAAATAAGTATTTTTTAAACTGCTTCTTAGTTATTCAAAAGGGTAATCAGTAGAATATAAACCCGCCCAAGTCAATCAAAAAAAAGGGACTAAAAAACAACAAGAAAAAAAATAAAAAATTATCAAAAACGCTAAAATAAAAATTAGCTGCTAAATATTTACTATCATTCTGCCTCATACAAATAAAAGAACAAATCACTATACTTAAAAAAGACAAAAACAAAAAAAATTGTACACCAAAAAACCATTGTAAACAGATAAATGTTGATGGTGTTTCCTCAAATATTTTCAAATTTTTCCGAAAAAATTGTTTTGTGCTAAAATTTAGTAAGGGAAAAGGTCTGTCAATTACAAATGGCAACTTCATTTTGCTTATTTTATCGTGGATTTCAGAAATTAAGCGAAGTCGCTTTAGCATTGTTGAAAATCGCTCCTTATGACGTGAACACTATGGCTTGCCTTGGATTACAAAAGTAATTTTTCTAACATTCTGTACTATTTTCTGTATGAGTGTGTACTTAAAATTTTAAAAACATTTGTATTCCAGCTTATTCGATATTTAAGACAATATACAAGTTATTGATATGGTAATGCAGTATTTTACTATGATGATTTAATGATTGAAAGTACAAAGTTTGCAGATACTTCGCAGTGATTTTATTAGTGACTGACTGGTCCGTTGAAGGTAATCGATCTACATTAAACTTTATTTTACGCCGTCTTGATAAAACTGTCCAAAAAATTGCCAAGAAAATTGTGCTAAGACGCCGTACTAACTGGCCAGCACTAACATGTTGGCTGAACGGGTTGCATCAGACTTTGGTTGCATATCCTTATATTGCGCATTTGCATCCTTTAAAAGTAATCATTTCACAAAACTATCGCGCTCCAATAAATAATTCTCATTAGAGATTTGACTATAATCTATCAATTTCTTATTCGCGCATTTCATGTTTAGTTCAACACTTTACTGCAATTATTCCAGCAACATTTCGTTCTATCTGATGTTAGCACAATGTAAACATTTTTCGAGCAATTTTAAATGCAAAAAGCTGAGAAAATGGCACATTTGGTGTAATAAAACGTACGTTTGACTAATCTCAGCCTCTGCGAACTGAATTTCATGAAGTTAAAAACGCTTACAAAGTTTATGATTAACAATAATTTGTCGATAAAGGATTAAATGATAAGCTAGTTTCTTATTATTTAAATTTGTGTTAAGACAACAACGCAAATGTGCTTACGCATAGTGATTGGTGACCCATGTACCGATGATGTGTCTACCCAGTCGAACATTGCTGTTTCGACCGTACTGCATAGCTCATGTCCACCACAACCTTTCTGCAATACAGTACTCAAACTTGCATCATTTCTAATGCAAACTCTTGGCTCGGTATTTAATTAGCTTTCTATAAATTCTATTTTTATTCGAGCTTGGGTTTCGAATGTGTATTAATGAAATGGTAGTCCCAACATCCTGTTCATCCTTTCTTTCCTAATTTGTAACCATTTCTTTATTAGTTCCTTTGCTTGAAACTTCGATTCAGTAATGACTCCTAAATTCTAGACAGTGTTTTCATTAGAGTACTTGTGCAGCACGGAAGCAATTGGCCCAACCGCTGATCGACTCGAAGTTGTTCTCTGTCAGATTCTGATTCCACTGTTTCTTCGGGCTGCAGTTTTCAAGAAAGGTTCGTCTTTTATGTAGATATAAATAGTATTAGAGGTAGATTTAAGAATACACTCACTGGTATAGCGGGAAAATGTCAAAGGAAATAAGTCCATGTTGAAGCAAATTAATAAAAGTTCATGCTAGAAATATGAATAGTTTTGCTCTTAACTTTTCATGTTCTTCATGCTTTTCAAGGCAACAATTATAATGCAAATTGCACTTTGATAGATTCATTACTCTACCTGTATCTTGCGCATGTGGCTTATGTGAAGTATTTTTCAAGCAAATGAATTAATCTGTCGCTACCTGGTATTCCATTTTTGAGTGCTCCACACATTCATATGTTTACTTACGTTTCAGAAAGTCCGCAATTTCAAATTAAAGACTTGATATTTTGCTTGAATTTGTTGCAAAACTCTGTAAATCCACCGTTGGCAAAACAAAGTTTGGCTCCTGTAATGAGCTCAAATTTGGCATCCACATTAATGCGAGGATCCAATGTTCATGGTAATTATATTGACTGTGATCACGACTTCTAAAAAAATTTCTAGCTAAAATCCGAGATCATGTTATCTCTGCATTCATATTTTTAAAAGCTAAAAGTATCAGTTAGTGAACTTAAACTTATAAAAACTTGTAATGTTCATCTATTTTATCATATGCATTAAAAGAACATTCCGCTTTGAAAATTTAATTTTATTTGAGTTTGGACTTGTTTCTAATTTGGGAATAGTTTTTATATGTATTGTATTCGTAATAATAATAATTTGCTGTATTTTTATGATAATGTGTTAGACAGTTATAGATGTTAGCGGTCGACAAGGTTCAGTTTCTGTTACGGAACGTGGACACTCAGCTACTGTCTCAACATACCGTATCGTACGTGAAACAGTTTGTCAAGCTGTGTTTTTAGGTAATTTTGAGATGTTAAATCGTAGTAGTCAAAGTCAGACTAATTTTTTAATCAATTATTTTTTAATCACCATTTTCATGAAGTTTTGATACTTATATTACACTATATGCACTGAAAAGGTATACACGATCGAAAGTACAGGCTTTCTGTTATTTTATTCTGCTTGCTCCAGCTCTTAAAGTGATGATCATTGCGTTCGAGAAGCAAATGACGTCACTCTGGTCAAGAGTGTTGCGAATTGTTCGTGATCTGCTAGCAAAAAAAGTCGGTGGCGCTGCTTTATTTTCCTTTCTGGACTTCATTATTGATGTCAACTTACCAATATCACTGATCGTTTTACCTTTGTTACAAAGCAAGGTACTGCATGTTCTGTATTCAATTTGATAATTTTATACTTACTTACTATATTAATTATGCTTGCTTTTCACTTATGGAAGTCGAAATTGAAATCGAAGACATTATGATATAGTCTAGATGAACAATTTCGCTTGTAAGATTGAATTAGAAGGAATATTCTGCGTTTCTGGATTTCTTTCGCTCGTTTGCACAGAAGTAAAAGTAATGTTGTTTTCATCTAGAATTGCAAGATTAGATCAAGCTCATTCAGTTGAATTTTGAATTCTGTCAACTGTATAAAAAAAACATTTTATATTGCTGATTGCCGTATTCTAATGTTAACAATGAACTGACTATTCATAGGTGACTCAGAAAGCATCTACAGAGCAGGAAGCCATGTGGCAAGGGGAATTTAAGGAACGTTTGCATCGGTTAGGGGGTACCTCTGCTGTTGTGATTCGAGGTTATGGAGCATTGTTATCCGAACTATCTCAAGAGTTGCAGGCTATGAAGGAAGACTTTACAGCTAGAGCTTTTGGTCTGCTTTGATTATTGATATCGTGATTTGTGAATACTGTTATGTTTAAATTTATGAATTGTATAATTACGTCTATTGGACTCTCAGCAAAACTAGAATGGGGTTAGATCCAAAATGCTTTCATCCAGGATTGAAATATTAAATTTTGTCGACATCTTCGTTGACTGATGATGTCGGTACCTTCTATGTCACAAGAAAAAATTTCGTAAGCAAAGTACTTCAAGTTAATCATTTTCAGACCTAACTTCGTCTCATACACCAACAATTGTAGATTTACACAGTGATTCGGGTAGTATGCAAAGCACTGTAGGCCATCGTCTCTCGTACTCGCGTGTAGCGAGCAACGAGACACGACGTCCGTCCACTACCACACTTACAAAACCTAGTCGAATGATCACTACAAATCGTAAAGGTTTTTGCCAATTAATTTTGCTCTACTCTTCTTGAAAAGTCTTTAATCCTGCTTAGGTAGAACTTCAAAATATTTCAGCAGTAAAATCGCAGAACGTATTTGCAAAGGCTAAAAGTGAACAATCAAAAAATTTATTTTTAATCTTTGTAAATATATTTTGTTATTCCTCGCCTATCATTATTGTATTTAAATTAGGGTGAAAATTACCTTTATGCAAAATTTTTCCAGATTCTCTAAACGATGGAACTATTGTTGAGGATACTGAAGATGATAATTTCCAGATTCTGTCAACCACTATCAATTCTGAGATAAGTACTTTAACTGGTTAGTTATCTACTCATTTTCATTCTTAGCTATTCATTAACGAGTGAAAAAATTGTATCTGCTGTTCAGTGTTAAAAAAAAAATCATTTGAAGTAAAAATATATTAATTATATTATATTATATTATATTATATTATATTATATTATATTATAT